CCTAAATAGGATTTAATTTATATTTGCAATCTTCCATTTATATATTTGAATCATAAACCGTATTTTGAAGATTATGATATTAAACAAATAAATTTTATTGATAAGTAATATAAAATGACTAAAAAATTATTTAAGTAAAAAAAATCATGGGTGTAACATATTTCTATACAAAATAATTGAAAAATTTATATATAAAATAAATTTTAAATTTCTATTAGGATAGCACCTAAAATTATTTATGAACAATTAATTAAATCCAAATTTGTATTTTAAAAACTACATTATTACTCTTATAATTATTCTAAACCTATAAAATTCAATTCATATTTGTGATCTTTTATTTTATATATTTGAGTCATAAATTGTATTTTTAAAGATTGTAATTAAATAAATACATTTTATTAGTAAGTGATATATATTGACAAATAAACTAAAAATTTGTTGTTTTCAATTATTTCACGAGTGTGATACATTTATATACAAAATAATTACAAAATTTATATGTATAAACGAGTTATGGATTTTGTATAATAATTTTAGTCATTTTTCAAACTAAAACTACATTGATTTTACTTGCATATCATATTATCCCGCGTATAACGCGGGTAACTATCTAGTTTTTTATAAAGAGGGGAAAAATGAATTTTTTTAATTTTTTTTTTTATGTCGACGGGAAAAAATGAAATCTTTTTATCAAGAAAAATAAGAAAAACTTGGAATGGAATGGAATTTTCCCGTTGAATTATCTTTATTTTGTGTAGGGATGAGGTAAGAATTAGTACTATTAAACTTGAATTGTCAAAGGTCAAAGGAGAGACTGAATTTCGTCGCTCAAGTGTTGGCATAATTTGATTTGCATTAAATTAGGGCTATTATAAAAAGAGGAAAAATTATTACTAATTTAGGTAATTAAAGATTAAACTGACAAATTGAATGTTGACAGATTGAAGCTTAACATGACGTAACGTAACTAAAGTAGCATTAACTACTTTCGTCGAATTATTAATACCCACATAACTCCTATAAAAAGAATCAAAACGTCGTCGTTTTGCTTCATAATGCCATAATGGGACTAC